TAGACTTTTTGCATAGAATTACCGATATTTCAAAGAGAGCACAACAACGGCATGTATAGAGTGAGCGCCTACTTCTTGGCCAAAATGCTGGCAGAGGTCTGTCTGTCCATCAGATGAATATCTGTTATATAATTGTATTAATGTATAAAAACCACAACAATTAGGCGCCGATATATCTGTTGCTTCCATTCCTATTCGTCTCCATATTCTACTATATGGTTGGTCTGAACAGCGGTGTAATCCAGTTCTTCACGTGTGCACTCATCAGCGTATTGGTAGCCAACACTGCCTGCAGTTTCGGTTACTTCATCTCATGCCTGACCAGTGATGTGACCATTGCGTTGGCGCTGACACCGCCAGTGATGGTCGCCTTTCTTATATTCGGCGGCTATTTCTTAAACAACAGGTAAATTGACATTTCATTTATAAGTTAATCACAAGATTTATCGTACATTTTGTTTCGTAATTATCATCTCATGGACACAACAATCAACAGTTCAGTTCCCGTGTACTTCATATGGTTTAAGTACATGTCGTGGTTCTATTACGGTAACGAAGCTCTGGTCATCAATCAATGGCGAAACATTCATCACATCCACTGTCCGTCTGATAACAGCACTCTAGAGATGGCTAACTATACGACAGCGACGACGACGACAAGCCATTGCATAAGAACCGGTCGGGAAGTGATCGAAACGCTTCACTTCTCGGAAACCCGCTTTACCGCCGATATTACCGCACTTTTGCTCCTCATTCTAGTCTTCAGGTCTATGGCATTCATCGCACTCTTCATGCGCTCCACAAGACGTTAGGATAAATACATACATAATATATAATTTAATCATCGATAGTATCCATCGATACTTGTGTTCATTTCAATTGTAGCACATTTTTATATAACTGTATTTATACTTAAAAACTAGTTTAATATAACTATTTATATAATATTTTATATTTGAATTTCATTTTGTTTTAATTTAAATTAATGGATAAAATGTTTATCATTGATATGTTTATAGATTCACAATAAAAACATCCCAAACGGAAACTTAAATGAAAAAAGTTTTATTTAAACTAAATTTGAGTAAATAATTGTCATTTTTATGATTAATTTTAAGACAAAACGCCACTAAATAAAAAAGAAACAAATAATTCATTAAACAATAAGTGATATTAAAAAAACAGATTCACACGAAATACAATGCATATTAAATACACGAATGAAAAAACAAAAGTCACATTTCAAATCAATTCCTAGATATGGTTACTGAGAAATGATTTTACAATTAATTATAAATTCGGATATGAATTATACGGTGTTATGAGTGGAAAGGCGTTTGAATTATACATTTAGAAAATAGGATTCAAAATATATAGTTTGCTAATCACTGCGTTTACCACCGTTTAAACCCGCGATTATATCCACGGCCGCCGCGTCCGCCACGAAAACCGCCTCTATTTCCGCCCCGGAATGAACCTCTCGTCCCGTTATTATTGTCATTGTTATTATTAAATCTCTTCACTCCTCCGCTAAACTTTCCGCCTTTTATACGACAAACAAAACAAATAAATTAGACAACAATTACAGACAATCAAATGGTATGTCATACTCGGCGGGGCGTATATTTTGCGGTCCTTTTTAGGATCAGACGACCCCTCGGGCGCTGTAATCGGCTGTCTTTTTGAAGGTTTGGCCGTCGCATCAGTGGCTCCGTCGGCGGGGGTAGCGGCCGTCGCCGCCGCTGTCGTAGTAGTACTCGTTGTAACCGTAGGACTCGTCACAACAGTGAGTGGCTTCGCAGTGATGGCGGCCTTAGAGACGGGCGGTTTCCACGAGAGAGTGATACTTGACTTAAAACTCGGCGGAATTTTGAAGAGTTCGCGAACCAATGTGTTTATATTGTTAGTGGTCTTGAGAGCCATCACTTTCATCTTATTCTCGTCCGATTTCAGTGCCTCTCCTTTCACTG